TCTGGAATTTTCTTTGAGTTGAACCTGAAGGAAACAGCACATAGAAGTTTTCTGGGCAGATTTCCAGCATTATAGCACATGAATATTGCCATGTCTAGTCAAGTTTCGGGAAGAACAAATGCAAGAAACTTCTGGAATTTTTGTCTGTTTAGGTTCTAAACATTCATGAAAGGAAGCTTATCTCAGTATTTCCCTTAATTTAATATGTGGGACTTCACAGTTTGCTCTGGCCTCATAACTTTCTTTTCAAATGAAATGAAATTCTTTGTGTAGAGAAAGAATAAGAATGCCGGTGGGAAGTTGTAAAAATACGTATATCTCGTATATACAGAAATTTATATATGTTATTATATACACACATATATAATCCATCTCTTTATGTAAATTCAAATAAACAACTCATTCAAATTTGTAGAGGTGCAACAGGGTCTAAAGTGGGGGCATCTCCTTTTTGATCTCCCCAGAAAGAACACTTTTACCAGTTTCTTATGTAGCTTTCCAGAGATCATCTATTTATACTTAAACAGCTATGTAAACACAGTAATACCTCGGTTTGTGAGCATAATTTGTTCCCGAAGCAAACTACTCATATTGCAAGACATCGCTCATTTACCAAGGTAAAATGTATTATTAGGTTGGTCCAAAAGTAATAGCGAGTAATGGGAAAAACCACTATTACTTTTACATTAACCTAATAGAAACGTTTGCTTGTTTTGCGGAACATTCGCAAACCAAGTTATTCACAATCCAAGGTTTTACGTATACATTTAAAAATACAAATACTGTAGACACTGTTCTGTACCTGGCTTTAAAAAAAATTGCAGTATATCTTGGAGATTGTTCCATATCAGCACATATAAAGCTGCTTCATTCATTTTAATGGATGCATAGTATTAGCATTTTATTATGGAATATAATGCTTACCATTACGTTCCATCACAGAATATGTTAGCAATATTATATTCATATTTATTTAATTTTGTTTTATTTATGACATTTACTCATAGCATATCCAGACCTCCACTGATATTTAACTTGCTTTCTATCTTTGCTATTTCAAACTATGTTTAAAAACAAAATCATTAACACATGTATGTGTTTATATGTAGATGAGAAAGATTGCTAGGTTGAAGTATATGTACATTTGTAATTTTGATAGATTTTGCTAAAATGTCCTTCATTTACATTACCATGTCCTCAGCATTACAACGTGTTTATCAAACTTTTTGATATTTACTAGTCTAGTAGGTAAAATATTTTCCCATGTACTTGTAATTTGCATTGCTCTAATTTGAGTGAGGTGGTTATTTTTTTCACAAACTTAAGAGCCTTTTCTGTGAACCATCTGTTCATAGCTTGTTTATTTACTTACTGGTTTTTAGTCTTACTATTATTGACTGTAGAAAATTTTTATATGTATAAAAAATTAGCCTTTTGGGTTTATGAATTATAGGGCTTCCCACCCTGTCCTCCATTCCTTGATTGTCATTTGTGTTTTGGGTGGAGTTTTTGTTTCTTTTAAAATGCCATAAATTTGTTTTTAATGTGTCATATTTATCAGTCTTGCTTTATGCCATTCATAGATCATAAATACAAATTTCCCATGTGTTGTCCTAGTGCTGTTAGGGCTATACTTTTTACAATTAATCATTAGATTCATCTAGAATTTATTGAGGTGAAGTAGGTAGTCATTCTTCTGTTTGTTTCAGATGGCTATCAATCGTTTTCTCAAACTGCTTCCTGACATTATTATATCTTTTCCCTATTGATTTGAAATGCCATCTTTATTGTGTACTTGATTGCCATGTTTATATATATTTGACCTATTTCCCATCTTTGTAATTTGTTCCTTTGACCTTTCCCATCTGTTCACCACAATGCTTTATGATGTGTTTTTAACATGTTTTTAACATCTAGGAGAGCTGGTTCTCCTTAGAGCTTTTCTTTTTTGAGAGCTACCACACTATTTTTGCCTTGTTATTTTACCCTGTGAACTTTAGAATCAACTTGTATAATAACCTCAACAAATTAAAAAAAATGTGTCCTAGAAGCATTTTTTTTAATTGGGAATGTATTAAATTATATAGGTATAGTTTAGAGAGAATTGACAACTTTTCAATGTTGTCTTCTTTTTTAAATGATGAAATATCTTTTCAACTGCTTTAACTTTTGTGTTGTTTAGTAGCACTGTAAAGTTTTCTTCATGTAAGTTTTGCGTATGTTAAGATTTTCTAGGTGTTTTACTTTTTTGTTATAGTAAATTAGATCTTTTCTGTTATATTGTTTTTCTAGTTTGTGTGTGTGTGCTTGTGTTTGTGTGTGAAGACTATCATTTCAGTGTATTAATTTTCTACCCTGTACCTTTTAGCATTTGTAATAGTTTTTCTGTTGGTGTTTTTTGATTTTCCAGGAAAACAATCATATTATCTGTAAATAATGATCATTCTGTCTTTTCCTGTCCAATTTTGGTTCTTCCTTTTTTTTTAAAGGTTTTTTATTGGGTAATTGGGGACGGGAACAGTGTTGGGGAATTGGGAAAGGGGACCAGCCAAGTTGTTTTTCAATCTTCGTTGTGGAGGGCACCTGTCGCCATCTGGCTTTCTGTCGGCAGCTCGTGGCCTCTAAGCTCAAGTTGCCAAGTTCAATCTTAGTTGCAGGTGGGCGTAGCCACCATCCCATGTGGGAGTCGAACCCCTCAGCCTTGTTGTTAAGAGCGCACGCTTTATCCACTGAGCCACCCAAGCAGCAACTCAGCTCAAGGTGCTGAATTCAGTCTTAGTTCAGTCTTAGTTGCGGGTGGGCGTACGTAGCCCACCACTGAACAGGTAATCTTGTTGTTATACCAGCTGAGCCACCCTGCCACCTGTTGGCAGCTCAGTGACAGCTCAGCTCGGGCGCAGCGTCACTGGCCCATGTGGGAATCAAACTGGCAGCCCTGCTGCTCAGAGCTCGCGCTCTTAACCTACTGAGCCACTTGGCCGGCCCCTGGTTCTTCCTTTTCTTATCCCATGTCATTGGCTAGTACCTCCTGAACAATGGTAAACAGTAATAGTAGTAGTGACATCTTGTCCTAACTTTAATGGAAACATTTCTAGTCATTCATGATTTAGCAGTAAATAAAAGCATATTCATTCTCTCTCTCTCTGTCTCTCTCTCTCTCTCTCTCTCTCTCTCTCTCTCTCTCTCTCTCTCTCTCTCTCTCTCTCTCTCTCTCTCTCGGAAATTATGTAAGGAAATACTCAACAATTCTCCTTTTATTAAGTAATTGAATTAAGAATGAATATAAATTAATATAAATATAAACTGATTTATGGTGATGAATGCTCTACTTGGTAAATTTACTAGAGATCACTGAATTGTGCACTTGAAATAGGTGAATTTTATGATATATAAGCTATACCTCAATAAAGTTGTTTTAAAAAAAATGGGTAGAGTATTTTATCAAGTACCTTTTAAGTACCTATAGAGATGATCGTGTGTCATTTTACTTTTACTCTATTGTGAATTGTTTAAATAATACAGAATTCTTATATTCCTAGAATAAATCCCACTTAGTCATAGTATGTTAATCTTTTTATATAGTGCTCAGTTCTGTTTGATAATTTTTTAGTTTAGGACTTAACATTAGTACTTAGAAGGGATATTCATGTGTAATAATATCTCTTTTGTGTAATTTCTTTGTTGGGTGATGGTGTCAATATTATACCTTACGTTTAAATAAGAATTTTGAAACTTTCCTTCCTTTTGTATGATTTGTAATAGTTTAAATGTTATCAGAATTGTTCCTTTAGAATTTCTTAGAATTCCCCTCTGAAGCCATCTGTTTGTTTTTGTTTATTTATGTTTTTCTTTTCTTGGAAGGACAGTTAGGAAGGTAGCTCTATGACTTCTATTTCATTATAATATTGCCCTGTTTAAGTTTTCTATGTTTTTTTTTGTTTATTTATTTATTTATTTATTTATTTATTTATTTATTTATTTATTTTTTGTATGGAGTGTGGATTCTTAAGTGTGTATAATACTGGGGATGCCAAAAAAATGTATGCACATGACTTGTATTCATCTTTTATTATTGGTATATATTATTTCAGTTTTAATACAGTTTTTTCCTTTCTTAAAATGTGTATACATTTTTGGGGCACCCTCTGTATATTATTTACTGAGCATCTTCAATTCATACTGATTGAGTCCCTCCTAATAAATTGTGAATCCATCTGTTATTGTTGAGTTATTGTTTTTGAGAGTGGTGGCTCTTTTCTTATATTCAGTGTTTTATGGTATTTGACAATTATGTCTCCCATTCCCAGTTAAGACCAATTCTGTATTTTCACTCTTGAGATGCTGACATTTTATACCTTACTGTGTGTTTTCCGTGCTCTGTAGACCATTCTTATCATCTTTGGTACACTGGACCAAGAGAGCCCAGTTTCACAGCAGGTCATGCAGCAGACACAGTGTTGGTCCTTAACAGACACAACTGATTTATCTCGTCCTTGTACATTGTAGGCAGTCAGTAATCCTAGTGAATGAAATATTTGTTTAGCATCTACTGTGTGTTTGTTTGGGGGATGTAAAAGACATATTCTGATAGACAATACTTGTACATGTTATGAATGCAAAGTTGAAATAAATGTGGTAAATATATGCATTCAGGTGTATTAAAGAATAGGGGATAATGACTTTGAAATAATTTTCAAATAGAGTGAAAAGTAAATATTGATTCAGTTACCCTTATACCTGGCCTGCATTTACACATTAATATAGAGCTAAAACTGTTTCCGCAATATTTTTGCTTTTCCATGTGCTTTGTGATAATATGCTAAGAAATGGAAATCACAACAGCATATTAACAGTCATGCCAAAAAATGATAATGTTGATCTAAATGTATGTTTTGATGTTTATTTTAAAACATGTTAAACAAAAAGTATGATAGTTGATAAAATTGTTTTTGGATTATGTTGATGATATATTGACGAAATATTCTTTCCTTTTCTCATAGATTTATCTAAAAACAGACTGGTTGAAGTTCCAATGGAATTGTGCCATTTTGTGTCACTGGAAATTCTTAATCTGTATCATAATTGTATCAGAGTCATTCCTGAGGCCATCATTAATCTGCAGATGCTGACTTACTTAAACTTGAGGTAGGTTCACTATAAAAGTTGTAATAAAATTCAGTAAGAATATGCTTTTATTTCTATCAGGTTTTTTTTTCTCTTCACTCTTCCTGATCACCCTTTGAAGTAAATCACAGAAAGATCATTTAAGAAATACCGCTTGTATTTGTAGTGCCATTGACATTGTTTTTGGTGCTAGACTTTTCTGAATATCAATATGACAAGATGCTTTTGCTTTTTAAAAATAATTTATATGGCATCACTTACACTTTTAGTCTCTTTGGTTCTTGGAGGTTGTTGCTATATTGTCTTCAGGTATTAAATGTAGATTTTGGAGGAGGAAGCGTAATGGAAGTAAAAAAAAATAGGGGGTTGGAACTAATCAGGCCTTGATGGTCTTTGGGAGTTATTGGTACTGTTGGATTTGCTACCTAATTCTCACCGAGCCTGTTCGCTTTAGGCCACCTAAGAAAGTTCCAGAGGAACATTGAGCAACTCCAGTAAGACATGAAGTCTGCTGTCTTTATAGCCCATTAAATTAGGTCAGTGTTTGCTGAGGATGAGTCAGTGGTCTGTACTGACTCTCTGATTATACACAATACAATGTAACATATTAATGCACCTGAGTAGCCCTAAAGTTAAGAAAATCAGCTATTTTAAGACATAGGTTTTAGATTGTGCTGCTGTGACTATCAGCTGCTCTGGCTAGATTTTGGTTCCTCTGACATCTTTGATTCACATTTAGCATGCCAGGAGAGAGTGGGGAGCAGTTTTATCAAATCTATCTGTACTGTAAAAGCCAGGTTCCAAGTTCAAGCTTGAGTGTAGCCTTCACTCATGTCAGTTGTATTATCTTGGTGTGCAAGAGGCAGCACCTGATTAGCAAAGTTGGTGCTGTGTAACAAATATGCCAAATTTTAAAGTACAAAATTCCCAATGAACCAGAAATAGCATTAATTTATGATAGATCATAACGTCAGTCAGTTTTTAGGTTTCTTTTTCTTTGGTCGACCACTGAGAATTAGGGGTCTTCTGCTGCCTTTTTGCAGTCAAGAATGGTTTTCTGTTGCATTTCATTAGGAGTGCATATCTTCTTCCTTGGGAGTGAAAAACAATCCTAGTTAAGTTTTTAAATGTCCTTGACTTCTCTTTGGTAAAGAAAATGTAGGTTAGTATTAGGATAATCTAGAGGCTCTTGTATTTAACTTTCATTTCTCCTGGTTTCTAGTTCACTAATCATTTTATTTTCTTGCATAAGAACAAATCAAGCTGTTTCTGCTACAGCAGAATGTTAATTACCTCGGAATTGCCTGATGGAGCCAGCATAATGATGTCTATAGATTTTGGTCCTCTATCTCCCTAATGTTACTAAACGCAAGGGATTCATTTTGCCTGCACAGATCAAAGTCAAAGAAGACACAGGCAGGAGTTTGCAGCAAATAAAGTAAAGGTTTATTTAAGGAAATGGCGCCAAGCCCAGAGACGCAAGTGAGCTAGTGCTCAAAGACCTGGCTTTGGTGGCATGTAGGTTACAGATTATATAGAGCGAAATCACAAGACACTGTGCCGTTAAGGGTTCTGGTTGTGCTGGGAGCTGATTGGTTGGAGGTGAGGTAAGAGTAATGAATCATTCCTTCAGATCTTGAGGACAGTTCTGAGGCCGGAGTCCCTCTGTCTGGTTTCATGGGAAAGTAACCAGGGAGTTATTCCACCCTAGGGCTCAGGAGCTCAAACATAACTTAGGTCAAGATGTTATCCGTATCCTGCCAGAGGTCTGGACCGTGTGACCATTAGTCATTGGGCTACTGTCTTCTGTTGCCTTGGTGGGTGCTGATTATCTGGGGGAAAGGCTAGGTCTCTGGGGGGTATATACAGAGGGTGCCAAAAAATGTATACACATTTTAAGAAAGGAAAAAACTGTATTAAAATTGTAATAATATATACCGATAACAAAAGATGAGTGCAAGTCATGTGTATACATTTTTTTGTCACCCCAGTATATATAGAGAGAGGGATATGATTTCTAGAGCTAGGATTTAAAGCTAAATTTAATCAAAGTCATAAGAGCCCTCAGTTTCACTAAGACGTTTGTCCTCTTACCCCAAACCGCATAGGGGAAATAACCCAAGAACATATTGTTTTATTTACTTTACTTACCTACTTCTGTCCTGCTGTGACGTTTTCACCTCTAGCAGTCCTGCATGCAACAAGTAAATAGATTTAACTTCACATTGTTATATTAAGTCCACTTGCAATGAGAAACTTTTGGGTATAGATGACATTTCTGGGATGAAGAAACTATAAAATTCTACAAGTACAAAGTAATCTAATCTTAAAATATATGTTATGCTTTTGAAGCATTAATAAATTGGTTTTGATATGATTATTTTCATGTTGAGAGTAGAATACTATTGCTATCTTCAGATGGTAGAAAGAAGGTACTGGAATATGGATCTCAAATTCTTTAGGCAAGAACAGAGAGAAATCATTGAAATTGATGATGGCTGAAGAGAAACCGTGTGCTATATTGTAAACAGAGTTTTGTGATGAATTTCTAGGTAATGGAAAGGAGAAAGAAATGAACCTTTAAGCACCCAAATTTTTTAAACTTTGTTTTCTGCCTATAATTGTTTAATTTCTTGTTTGCCTCTTTCGTTCCTC